AGTTTATTAATATATTCTACGAAATTAAGAAAATATGTTTTAATTAAGGATATTTTAGCCTAAAAATAATTAATATGTGGGAAAAGAATTGAGACTTATATAAAAAAATATAATTATTCTATATATATTGGATCTTATAAATTTGAATGAAAGTAGTACATAAACATCTTCGTTATGACTCTTAATAATGTGTAATGTAATTTTGGTATATAAAAGACATGTTTAATTATAAGGTACACACATTACACCTTTACACTATTTATCTACATGTGTCAAAGTGTCATTAGGTACCTCATCCTACTTAGATAATTCTGGAGCTTGTAAAACAAAGGAAGAAGGAGGGTTCTCAACTTTTGACAAGTACATTTAGCATTCATCATGGGGTTCTCCTATCGGCTCGGCCATAGACTGAGAGGCCGTCTCGACCACTCCCTATCGGCTGGGCCAAGGACCAACAGAAGATAATTACGATGATAATCATGGTCAACAAGGGACAACACGTAATTAAGGCATAATCAGCCGATTAGCATCGTATTACCTAATTTGGTAAGTGTCAGAGAAGGCCCACCATGCTCAGGCCTATGACAGGTACTATAAATAAGTCACACGAAACGAGGTATGTCACTGTTCATTTATTACCCTTGAGAATCGTGCTTGTCCTGACTTGAGCGTCGGAGTGCCTTTTGCAGGTACCTCCCCCCTCTGAAGCACCAACCCGAAGCTCTCGTTCGACCCTCCTGTTACTAGAAGATTACGAGTGTATCCTCAGACAGGTACACATAGTAATTAAAAGAAGAGTAGCTGAAGAATATGGAGTAGCCCGAAGTTTGGAAGTCTGAAATGTAATTTGGATGTAAGGCTCTAGCTCTCCATGCAGCACTACAGTGGACAAACAGACCAAATTTAGGTCACCTTTGATAGATATTACCAAAGTGTAGCTCTCAGTATCAATAACTTGCAGAGTGATATTTCAAAGTTTAGGGTTCATCATTTGTAAATGTAAACAACTTTTCAACAGTTTATTTAACTGTGTGGTCAATTTTATTCTTAACTAAGCGAATTCAATGGCTCATTGTTTGGCAAAGTCAACTGATTTCAAAGATCATCATTGTGATATTAGTCATATTTCACCTTATATTATTCACTATATATTATCAATGATATTTGATAACAATTAATTTATATATTTTTTAAAATTATTCTTATAATATTTTTCTTTCATAACTAATACTTATATATCTTCTAATTAAATAAATACATGTTATATATTATTTTTCTCTCTTAATTAATAATAAATTTTCTCCTAATCAATAAGAACATGTGCTTTTAAAAAGTTTATTAATATATTCTACGAAATTAAGAAAATATGTTTTAATTAAGGATATTTTAGCCTAAAAATAATTAATATGTGGGAAAAGAATTGAGACTTATATAAAAAAATATAATTATTCTATATATATTGGATCTTATAAATTTGAATGAAAGTAGTACATAAACATCTTCGTTATGACTCTTAATAATGTGTAATGTAATTTTGGTATATAAAAGACATGTTTAATTATAAGGTACACACATTACACCTTTACACTATTTATCTACATGTGTCAAAGTGTCATTAGGTACCTCATCCTACTTAGATAATTCTGGAGCTTGTAAAACAAAGGAAGAAGGAGGGTTCTCAACTTTTGACAAGTACATTTAGCATTCATCATGGGGCATAGAAATCTTTCCTATAGTCACTTGCATTATGGATCATTAAGAATGATAAACAACAAGAAGATTGAGAAGATCTTGTATGAGTAAACGATCTCAAATATATGTTTCATCAAGTTAAAAATCAAAGTATAAAATTTTGGTCGAGAATATCCCATCTAACTAAATTTTCTCAAATTTAAATTAAAACTCAAGTATAAAATATTGACCGAGAAGCCAAAAAGTTCTCATTTGAGTAAAAGTTCTTGGAAGGAATTTTCTTCAAATTAAATATAAGTGTAAAATCTTAGTTGAGAAAGATATCACTTGAGTAAATGCTCTTAGATGAAAGTTTCTATGAATTAAATTCATGAAAAATCGTGGCCAAGATCTCATCTAAGTAAACGTTCTTGGATGGAACTTTCTTTGAATTAAATCAAAGTGTAAAATCTTGGTTGAGAAGGATATCTTCTAAATAAACGTTTTGGATTGATAGTTAAAATCTGAGTAACAAACCTTGATGGAGAAGATCTCATCCATATAAACATTCTTGAACGAAAGATTCTTCAAATTGAATTCAAGTGTAAATTCTTGGCTAGTAGATCTCATAGGCCACATAGGCTCATTCTTTTCCTATTTTATTTAAATTTTAAAAAGAAAAATAAAAATTAATATCGAGTCAGATAAATCCGATAAATTTTAACCTTGAAAACTATTAGCCTTTGATCCAATTCTTTTTGAGCCACTTTTTAAACCCAACCCAATCTAACCTAATCCAACTCATCAAATTGGATGTTTTTTTTAAACTCTTCTTAAGACAATATTAGAGAAGTTAATAAGTAAAAATTTATTAAAATTTCTAAAAATATTAATATTTGATAACATTAAAAGTTTTAATTTACAAAAATTATTTTATATAAGAATTAAATGATAGCAAGATCATACTTATATGAAGAGTGTGTTTAACAAGACATTAAAAGAATTTATAAGATAGTTTAACTGACTTATAAACTGGTTCAATCTTGGAGTGTGTTTGATAAAACATGAAAAAAAATTATTTTACTAATTTTTAATGTTTTTTCATAACCTTATTAAAGAGGCTTATAAAAATAAAGTAACTTATAAACTACTAAAATTATATTTGAAAAAACTAGTTTACGAGCTAGATGAAGTTAAAAAGCTATAAACTAAGAAGTAAAAAGTTTAAATTTTTTAAAGATAATTGATTAAATTGAAAATCAAATTTATAAGTTAGTTGATAAATATAAAATGACATAAAATAACATATTGTTATTTGAGATAAAAAGAGATTTCAAATAAATTAAAGAGGATAAGAATGAAAAAAACAAAAAAAATTGAAGCTTATAAGTTAGCTTATTTTTATAAGTTAGAAATTACTAAAATAAACTTGCATATCAAATAAACTTATTTTGACCAAATTAACTTTAAATTAGTTAAACTAGTTTTTAAGTTCTTTCAATGTCTTGTGAAACACATTCTAACTTTTTTTTTTTTATCTACATTAATTTATTTGAATTTTTTACCTCAAATAATTAATTATGTTTTTTTATGTCATTTTATATTTATTAACTAATCTTATTAAATATTTTTAATTCAATTAGTTAGCTTATCAATTTTTAGTTTTTCAATTTCTAACTTTTAAGTTTATAAACTTTTAATAGTTTACTAGTTTTATTAAATACGAAAAAAAAAACTTGTTTGATACATAAACTTATTTTAGTACCTCTAGCTTATTTTCTTAGACAACAAATGTATTTGGTAAAACTTTATACACTACTTGAAAGCTTATAAGTGAGTAAGCTTACTAGTCCCTCTATTATATAGTAAATGTTGTAAGAAAAAAAATTATCCTAAAATAAGCGTTATTTTAGCTTTCAATGTAAATATTATTTAACTATTTTTAATTTATATTCATAATACTATTCTTTAAACATTATTGTGGCGTTACATATTATTTCTAGTAAAGAAAATTAATAAAAAGACTTAATTTTATAAAATTATTATTCTCTTTTATTTATTTACCAATTTTTATTGATCTATATAAAAATTCAAGACATCCCTCATTATAAGATAGAAGGTATAAATTGAAAATTAAAAAAAAAAACTCATAAATTAACCAATTTAATTAAAAGTATTTAATAAGATTAGTTGATAAATATAAAATAATATAAAAGGACACATTTGTGAGATAAAAAAAAGTTTTTGAATAAATTAACAAAGATAATTTTTATAAAAAAAGATATTAGCGTATAAACTAAATTATTTTCAAAAACTAGTTAAAATAACTTATGAAAACAAACTAAAAAGTACTAAAATAAACTTGTGCACCAATTAAACTTGTTTTGATAGTTGCTATTTTTTCTTTTAACTTTTATTCTTAATATTTATTTAAAATCTCTTTTTTTTTTATCTCTAATAACTAAATACTCTCTCCAATTTTAAATATAAACAAAAAAAATCTCATTTATTAACCTCAAATATAAACAAATTTCAACTAATTTCATTCTACTTAATCTATCATCTCTAAAATATCTTTTATTTAATTAAAATTATATTTATAATATTTCTTTTTATTCTTGATATCAAGTTTCAAAAGATAATTTAGAAAAATAAATTATTTGTTAGATAAGATTAACAAAAATAGATGATATAAACAACCTTTCTCAACAAACATGAATGATTTTTATTTTATTAATTTTTGTAAATGTTAAAAATCGGAGGGAGTATGTCAACAATTTTTCTTTCAATTCTTGTTAAAAACTATCCTAAAAAATTGATTAAGAAACTAAAAATTACATATATTTTATTGGTAATCACAGCATTGATGTTCTAATTATGTTAAATACTACATTTTCCAACTTCCAGTTCCTCATCGAATACATATGTGTACCAGCAAGCATTCTCTTTTGGATAAAACTTACATGCATGAAATTTGAAATTTCTTCTCAACAATGTGATAAAATATTTCATTAAATATCCATATATATTATTAAAGTAAAACTTAATTAAAGAATAAATTTCTCCTCAACAATATATATGATAAAATATTTTATTAAATGTCTCCATATATTATTAAAGTAAAACTCCTGATGCTATCAGGTTAATTCCATGTTAAACCAACCAAGGGCAACATGATACATATTTTCTAATGTCAATCTGTGGCCGACATTAATTCAAGCACGTACCTCAATTACTTTCAAAACTTGAAAATTAATTATATTAAAATCAATTCTACCCAACTTTAAAACAGGCAAACCACCAAAACATAAATCACTCAATACAAAAAGTGTCATCTAGTGTGTGCCAGCATTCTTAATTAAATATAAACCCTAAACAGTACGATTGCATCAGAAAATCAATAGTACTTTATTTACAGTCACAGGAAACTAAAAGGAAGGGGAATTTTCCCCTTATCCATGATAAGTTCACGTATGGGGAGGTGAATTAACAGAACTAGTACGTCATGTACAGATAAAATACAAAGTTAATAACAGGACATGCATGCAAAACTAGGGATCTGCTTTACCAACAACCTGTTCATCACTAGAATCATATTCATCCTCACTCATCTCCTCATCACTGGATTTTTCTTCTGGGACTTCACCTATGTCTTCCTTTTTGGCATACTTCTCACAGTACTCTGACATTGAGGCCAGTACACATCAGTTGAGTGTTAATTAAATAAAGAAAAACTTAAATGTTTCTGAAATAAAAACCAAAAATTGACTCTCAGAAGAAATCAAACCTAGATTAAGGAAAACAAACAAAACATGGTTATTTTTGGATATTCAAGGAATAGAATGAAATAAGATAAAGTGAAAAGAAATAGAATAAAGTTACCAATTCATTGTCCATAGAGAGACAGATACATAGATAACTAGTTTCATTTCATATGATCATATCCTTCAAATTGGAGGGAAAGAAAAAGAAGGTATTGGATGGAATGAATTGGAATGCATTCCACCAGGTTGTGTCCCATCCCATCCTATTTTAAATTTTTTTATGGTTTAAATCCAAAAAAAGTCAAAAGGATAGTTTAATTTGAAAATTAACCTCCATCAAAAACTGATTTAGTTTTGAAAGTTTCAAAAGAAAATATTAAAACTATAATAAAAGCATGTCATTGCCATCCTTTCACTAATATTTTGCCAGAAATAAAAAATTTCAGCAATTTCATAACATTTTTTAGATCACTACTACAATGGTTACTAAACCAAACTTTCTCATGTTCTTATAACACAAGTAGTTCTGATAAATGGTTGTCCTACTCCATTCTTTAACGTTTTTATGCCCCATTTTTATGTTAAGCATTTGATGGTATCAAAATAGGCAGTAACATGATATTGTGGCAGATGTCAACAAAGTTGGTTCTATTGATAAATCAAAACTTGAAATGTTGATTATACTGCAGTTGATAGATGAAAATGTTGATAAGATAATCAAATGAGGTTGAGAATAATTAAAAGTAAAGTTCTTCTAATTGTTTGCGAGAGTGTATGTGCATGTGCATGCACACACACTGACACACATTCAAGCAGTTGTACACATCCCATTTGCTCAGTAGTGATGGTAGCCTACATCTACTACCCAGAGGTCAAAAATGTTAGTTCAAATGTCCTTCTTGGCTTAGATTTTGATCGTGGTTGACATGTTAAAAAACTGCAAAGAAAGCATAGCAAGTCTGTGATGCAGACATGGGAACAAGTGCATATGAACACTAATACAAAAAATGCATATTTAAAAAAAAAAAGGTTCAATACCTTTAACCCTTTGGTCATAAGTAGCTCGGTCACGCATCATTAAAGCCGCAGCTTCTCCATTCAAGGGGTCTGATGGATTAGGATACAGCAGAAGTTGAGGTAGAAACACCTCAAACACATTGACAAGATCTGAAATACAGTAGATTTTGACATATGAAATGAACTAAAAATGTAAAAATATAAAATTTTGAATAAAGTTACAAAACCACAATTTTTTTTAAAAATTAATGAATTTCATTACCAAACATGGGACTCCAGGTTTGATTGATAACATCCAGACAAACTGATCCTGACCTGAAATTATTGTCATTTAAGATAATCAGATCAGACAAACAATTATATATATATATATATATATATCCAATACACATGTAAACTACTCAATACAGATAATTTTCAGAACATCACTACTAATACTAAGTGCTTACATCTCATCAACATTTGGGTGATAGATCTTATTGACAAAACCAATGGAAGGAGATTTATAAGGATAAGCATCCGGCAACTCAACTCTTACTTTCCAAACACCACCATAATAAGGACCTGCCAGAATCATCACAAAGATAAAAAGACTATTATTGAAAAAGAAAAAAAAGTGAATAATACATAAATATAGATAAGGATCTCAAACTAGGATAAAACAGCGATCAAAGGTGAAATCAGCAAGAATGATGCAAAATGAAATATTTCTAAAAACAGAAAAATTCTAGCTCATACCAATTATATACTTAGATTAAGAATTCCACAATACACAAAGAGGAACCAACAAAAAAGAAACAATTTTTTTTGCAGAATTAAAGAATTACAAAAAAACAAAAAATCAATATTGTTGTTTTGTTTTCAAATCTATTTACAGAGACAGATAGCATAAGAATCAACACAATAAACAAAAACGAAAAGGGGTATCAATACTATTCTGTAGCTTCCCAAATCTAAAATTCTAAATTCAACTCGGTCAAACAGCTATCTCTACCATATCCAGAAATTAAAGAAAAAAATATATAAAAAAAAATCTCACTTGATGAGAAGCAGCAAAGCAATAATAAAAAATAAAAAATAAAAAAAGGAAAAGAGAACTGACTTTCTTTGGGTCCATGAAAAAGAACATAAAATTCTTGCATTCCATCATTAATCGTCTCCACCTTGTAATCACTCATCATCCTGCCAAATAAGAAAGACCCAGAATGAAAAAGAGAGAGGGGAAAGACCCATTAGAAAAAAGATTGAAACTTTGATGAATTGAGGGAGAAGAGATTAACAGTTTCATCAAGTCCATCTCTCGACGCTTGCTTGGGGAAGACATGTTTGGTTTCGCCGTTGCTTCGACTTTTCTTCTTCTCTTATTTGGCAAGTTGTAGAGAGAGAGAGTGGAGTTGGGATTGGAGACTCTTGTGCAGCTCAAAGCAAGTGAAATTTGGTTCAGACAGCAATCAACACAAATAACAGATAATAATAATAATAACAATAATAATAATACACAGAATGGATTATTTAAAGTCACCACAGAATTGAGAAAAATATAAATACAATATTATGAGTCGATATAAATAAATAAAAATATTAAATGAGTATGAATTGTGATTTGTGATTATGTATCAGAAACTCCCATATTATATATATATATATATATATATAATATTCTATGTATTTATTTATATAATAATTTATGTGTTTAGTCATGCACCAACCACCAATTTTAAATTAAGATAAAATTTAAGTAGTCTTGAATGATTGGTGTTAAATCAAATATTTTTTAGTATTTATAATATATAAATAAATATTTTTAAATATATAAATTATGTATTTTTTATAATAACTTATAAATTATATTTTAGATTTATGATAAATAATTTATAATGCAGTATAATATTATTTTTATTGATTAATTTATTTTAAAAATATTAAGATTTAAATAATAAATAATTATGACAAATAAAAATTAAATTAAATTAAATGTTAAATTTATTTCTAAAATCTCCTCATTAAAAAAGGTTTCTAATTTTTTTTAAAATATTCTTATTTACTATATAACAATTAATTAAAATTAGAGATTTATTTTGATAATATACAATTATATTTAATATATTAATATGTTAACACATATTAATAAAATAAAATATCAATTCTGATTGGAGAATACACTTAAGAAACTATATCTTAGTTTTATTCTTATAATTATTAGTATAACTTTTAATAATTATTACAAAAACCAACAAATACTATATGATGTTTTATAATTAAATGACTCTGTAAAATTATTTTATACTAATTCAGTATAATTTTTTTACAAAAAAATAGTCTAATTACAAAAAAAAATGATTTGGTTAGATAAGTTAAAAAGATAAGAAATTATTATTCAAGTAAAATGGCAATACAAAAAAATATAATTATATTAAATTATTATGAAAATAAACTAGAAAAAGATATAAAATTACAATAAAATCTGTTTTTATTGTAATTCAAATATTAATATATTTCCATCCATGTCATTTGACATTTTTTTAAATCATATATTGTACAGTCAAATTATAAGTATAAAGTTATTGTGTGACATATTTTCTTATTATTTCTCTCATTAGACTATTAAGACATACATTTTTTTATGATGACATATCTAAATATTTTATAATATCTTATTTCAGTTATATTTAGTAGATATTTATTTTCACAACAAAAAAAGATTGTTAGTTCAATTTTTTTTATAATAGATAGTAAAATCATCTAATTAAAATAAATACAATCATAACGTAATCTTTATTATTAATGTATAAATTATGTTAATTTTGATATTTATATTTTTTCATATTGATTTATTTAAATAAAAACAAATGAACATCATTATTATCATATCTTATCTTTATAAACATAATAGTCATATTAGTCATATTGATTTTTATATACATTATAATCATATCTTATAATAAATATTAAATTTATTTAAATCATTTTTAAGTAAGAATGTGAATTGTTTATTTTTTATCTTTTTTATATATTACAACAAAATTTATTATTAATAACAATAAATTGTTGTTATTTAATTATATAATAAAAATATTAATGGCTAATATATAATAGTCACTAAAAATGTATTTATATTATATTAAGTTTATTATTAGCAATAATTATTTATTGAAAAAAAAAAACTTAGGTCTCACATTGATTAAAGATAAAATAATTAAAGACTATATAAGTAAGTGATAATTATCACCTTACAAGTTAATTTTGTAAAGTTGAGTTAGACTCTTAATTTATTATTCTAAGTTGGTATTAAATCACTCACTATTACCAAGTTCAACGGTGTTATACATCAACTAGAGATAAAATAAAGTATATAAGTTGTGAATTTAGAAAAGAAAATGATAGGAATAAATTATTTAAGGTTTTACTAGCAAATAGATAAAAGTCACTAAATGAATGGAAATGAGACAATTGAAAAAGAATAACTTTTAATATTTTTTAAAATGGCTACTAGAATTACCACAAAAAAATAAGTTTTCCTGACAATTTAGTGAATCTTTACTAGTATTCTATATAAATGTCAGTAATAGTATTAGCGATCCCAGCCATTATTTAATTATCTATAAAAAAAATCATTTATATGGTCACTAAAGAATAAAATAATGACTCCAAAAGACTAATTTTAGTATAGTGATAATAAATATTAAAATCGTTTAAACTAAGATATGTAATGGTATCATAATGTTAAAAAAACATTAAACAATGTTTTTTATTTTTATTTGATTGAATAATAATTGTTTCAAAATTTTAGTTTGGAAAAATTATTTAAATAATATATTTTTTGAATTTTTAAATATTTAATACGATTTAATAGCTAAGTTGCATTGATTATTCTATTTATTTAGACTAAACTTGAATTTATTTTATATAAATACAAATGTTAAAATAACACATGTATGGTGTTTTTTTTTCATTTATCTTATAATAAAATATTAAATTCATCTTAATTAAAATCATTCGATAATATGATAATTTTTACAATTAATATTAAGATTGTTTATGATATTTTATTTTTATAAATTGATGCCTACAAATTACCAAAAAAAAACATGACAAACATATCTTATTTTTTAAAACATGAAAGTAATTAGATTTTTGTTGATCTTTTTATAATTTAGAATTTATTTTTACTTAAAAGCTTGAAGAAACAATAATTGAGTTACAAAAATAAATATTCCAGAATTTATTTGTGACTCAAATGTTTTATAGTGACCTTTTTATAATTTAAAATAAAAATCTTTAAATAGCTTTCAAGACATACATTTTATAATTAAAAAAATAAAAATAACAATGATATGCAAATAGTAAATATTAATTTATTATTTCATAATATAATTTATGTGATTGTTTATTTTATTTATTATATTTTTAATGACAAAATTATGTGAAGGTTAATTATGGTTCGTAATTAAATAAATATGCACAAAACATTGTATATCAAGACATGATAATTGAATTCTATACAATTGACATGTGTTATCTAATCATATGAGTGGATTCACAAATATTGTAACACTTCACATGTTAGCACTTCACACAACTATTCCTTGATCATAACCTTCACCATTTAAAATGTTTCGTGGTAACCTTTTTGATATGTTTGTCTGTCTTTAGAATCAATGATTGAATTACAAACTAAAACAAGATTTTTCAGTGTACTTTGTTTTCACATGTGCACTTTTTCAAAAAATCATTTATCTCTAAATCATTTCAAGTCAAACATGCATAACTATGAAGTTCTTAGTGGTGAGTTATTGAAAAATAAATATATTTTTTTTATAGGTAATACAAATTAATCAAGCCCATTCTTGACAATTTATGTACCTAGGACAAACTAATTTCTCCTTTAATACATATTTAATAAAAATAAAATACTTATTTTTATTAAAATGAAACATTTTATTACATAATTTTTTAACATATTTTTAGTCATCGTAATATACACATTTTATTATTGATTTAGTCCCTATAATTTTATCTTATAGTTTTAGAATTTGACGTTATTTATTGATAATGCAACATGTAACACCTCGTGGCACCTTGATACCAAGGAGTTGCAAGTTGCAACTGGTCTGTGAGTTTCACAATATCAGAGATGATAAACATAAGCAATATGCAAAGTAACATGCAACACTTAACAATGCGCTGCGTCATATGATATTAAACCCAAAATTGTTAAGAGGTGCATTGTAAAAGACCAAGGGGACACAAATAAGTAGGGATCAAGGGAAGCCAAGGAGAGAGTCAAAGAAAGTAGTTGAACGAAGCCTGTAAACAGTAAGTTCCATGCCCAATGTACATATAGCTCACCCACTTGTAAATCCATTTTCAAGAACAGAGAGAGTCAAAGCCTCATAACTGAATCCGAGACTTTTTTTCATATGTATCCCTCGTTCCTTCTCTTTGACATTTACAGAAATTGCATCAAATTTTGAATGTATACTAACATGCTACAGATTATATTCCATGCAATAAAAATTTTAAAAAAAATCAATTGCCCCAATATAATCTGTTTATCAAGTTTCAGGGCAGAAGTCCTTCCGAATCCAGACGAAAAAACTAGTTCAAACCAATGGCAGAAGTTTCATTCCTCTTCACCCCTCCAAATAAAAAACAAAAAATAAAACAGCAACAACATTTTAAGGTTCATGGTAAACCTTCCCTCCGAAAATGGAAAAGGCACAGAGATTTCAAGAACAAATGAATGGAAAAAATTACAGGGCCACAAATTACAAACTTTGGCGAGCACAAGAAACTTTCTTATATATTTATAATTATCATGTAACATTATACAGAACATCACAAATATACATTTCAGAACAATAAGACAATCATATAACCTATTACTCATTCTAGCTTGAATACAATAAACCAAACATGATTGAAAACCATCAACCATAAAACATAAAACCCAATACCTAGATTCATCGGTATGTACCAGAGTTGTTTGGTTGCAACACAGTCAGTTGACTTTTTGTGCATCTCTGTTACCCTCTAAGATGCTGTCAATGCCAGTTCCACCTGATCTCAGATTAGATAGCAAGGCATTACGACCAGTCAAGACCACATGGAAAAAGCTATCAACTTCCTTTGAAAGAAGATCTAGTCCTTGTGAAAGCTTCTCTGTCGCTCTGCCTAATTCCCTGACAATCTTCACAAGTGGTTCTGTCTCAATGGTATCTACAACACCCTGGATAATAGGAGATAATTCCTTCAAAGAGGAATTAACTTCTTCCAACTCATTCAATACAGTAAATCTCCCACCTGATAATCTAACTCTAATTTGCTCATTTACAAGATTTTGCAACCCTTTAAAGGTTGAAGCCCAAGAATATATGTCAGCCACATCCAAAACTGACATATTCTTTGTAGAGCCTGAAAAAGCTGCAGCAAACACACTGCATACAAATACTGTCTGCACCTTTACTCCATACATAGCTTGCATCAAAACCTTCCCTTTAGCTGACTTTTTAACCTTTGGAAGATCAAGTGACCCCAGAAGATCATCCAAAATGCTGCCACATTTATCAATCCTAGGGTTTCCGGAACCAATATGCTGTTTCCAACCATCAAGTGAAGAACATGCCCGAACATACTGCTCTGAAGAGGAAGATCCTAAATTGTGCAACACACACTGAAGTAAAAGATGACCCCGGCTCAGACGAGATAATTCAGAGCTAAATGCATTACATATATCTAGCAACTTGACACTAATGTCAAAGTACACATCGATCCATTTCTCATCCCAATCAGAGACAGGCAGCTCAAGCTCTGTAATGAGGGTTTTAATGTCATTATGACTCTCACAAAGTGTCTGCATAGCCAAAGTCATCCAAGACAAGTTGAGGATCTCATCCTTGCTCTTTGGTATAAGCTTTTTCAGCCTCTCTTCCAAAGTTGCTTCAAAAGCATGTAATACTAACAACAGTTGTGGAGAATTTTTCGTGCCTTTTGCCGATATCATCCTAAAAGGATTTCCAAACGGGAAGAATGATCGCTTTGCATCCTGTGGACGACTCATTTACAACTCACACTGCAACAAACAGAACCGGAGAGTAAGATATAATATTGTTGAATAAACCATACAAAATCAATTATCAGTCATACAAAAAGCAGTTCAAAATACTTATTTATTATGTTAATGTCCAATAACAAGCCTCCATTAACCAATCCAGACACCATTTCCTCCTCTTCTCTATGTAATTAATCCACTATAATGATAATCATGTAGTTCACTTTAAATTTGAAACTGTAACAAGGTATGAGAGAGTTTGAACAATTAATCCTAAATAACCTATTCATAGACAGCTTAGAGAAAGTCAAAAGCACCTAAAATCAAAGAAACAAAATTCCAAGATCAGAAATTTCACTTAAGTTCTGTTTCTTTATCTTCTTGAAAACCCTTAAGAAAATCAGAAACTAATAGCCACCTAACAAAACTTTCCATACAAAGGCAAATAAAAAAAAAGGGAAATAAAAAAATTCTAAGACCAAAATTCTACAGCTTTGCTCACAAATTATCCCCTTTCTCCCGCACAACAAGGGTAAAAAACTCAACCAAAATCTCCCTTCACTCCCTCACACGACACCTGGAGGAAATAGCCATATAAATACTTCTCAAGGTAAAAAGACCATTTCAATTTTCCATCAAAACTAAAAGTAAATGAATAAATCGATTGAACATCGCCAAAATCGTTAGATCTAGGTGCTAGAAAATCAATCAAAGAGGAAAAACTAGATCGATTCTCAGATTTTTCGCTAAAAGAAAAAAAAAATGGGGGAAGGTGGATGCTATTACAAGAGATTTTCATGAAACAAAATATATATATATATATTTATTTATTTATTTATTGCTTTAGTCCCACCTATTTTTTAAAATCTTTTTCATCATTTCTTATGCACTAAATGAAGTTTATAACTTCCCTTCTTTTTGCATGTTTCTTTATCATGTTGTGTTTACTAAACATAGCATACATGTATTAATAGTCTCACCTACTTTTTTTAAAAAACATTCATTTCTTCTTCTGAACCTAATAAAAAAAGGTTTTTAACTTCCTTATATTTCTTAAGTTTCTTCATCATTTCATCCTTATCAAACAAAGTGTACATGTATTATTATACTCGTATAATCAAATATATAACCTTTATTATATACTTAAAAAGCTCAAACTATTAGTTATTTGTACTCTATATTGTAAGTAAACAAATTTAAGAATTTATCCTTTAATCATATAATTAAAACACATAGTCATAAAATTTTAACTTTCCTTTGCACGTTTTTTCACCATTTCATCCTCAAAAAAAGTTTAAATATAATACTTTACTTGTATAATCAAATATATAATCTCTAAAGTATATTTAAAAAGCTCAAACTATTAACCACTTGTACTATATTGCGAGTAAACAAATTTAAGAATTAAACCTATGATCACATAGTTAAAACACATATTCACAAGTTATTTATTAATTATAGGACACCATTTTTTATATTTCAGAACAAGACATGGTATCTAAAATAAATAACCATGTTAAGAAAATTGGATCCTATTGCGAATATGAATCGAGCCATAAACATTAGCTAATCTGGGTGGAAAGGGAGGGCAAAGGGAAGGTTGGGATTTGGGAGGGAGAGGGGAAGGTTGGGAAAGGGATAAATAAAACGAAAAATTAGTGTGAAAAGGAATTTTTAATATTTGAAAATTAAAAAATAATAGAGTTGAATTAATGTAGGATTTATGCAAAAGGGGAGGATGAAATTAAAGGAATTATTGCTATTTGAAAATTAAAATATATTAGTTACATGAATGTGGGATTCATTTGGTAAAGTTGCAAAAGGGGAGATGAAATTATTAAATTGTAAAAGGTAAATTGTATATAAAAAAATATAAATTAAGGACCAAATAAAAGCACCATCAGAAACATTCCTAGGATAATTTTTTTATTTAATAAAAGGTATATTGTCTCTTGAAAGTAAAAGAAGTGAACTTCAATCATAAAATATATGTATGCTTATTATGAATAAAAATCAATTGTTTGTTTGGATTAGATTTTTTGAAATAATTTTTTAGTTTTTAATATATTTTTTAAAAAATATTTCTTCAAACATAATATATATTAAATATGCACTCAGCTAAGCTAATAGATATTATTTCTTCACGAGGTACTCTATTTTTAATATAATGCGTAATTGTATATAATAATAATTTCGATCATCTATGTCTAATTAGCCAACTTAGCGGAACAAGAACCATCTCTTACAAGTAAACTTCTGCATGCATACTTCGTAGATATGATACATTGCAATCTACTATGTAGAGTCAAAGTTGGTGCCTAAAGGTATAATCATCTCTTTCGTCGTTGTTTCCTAGTTTGTCTGTTATTCTCTTTTTCCCTTTAATTATGGTCCCAAAAACGTGTATATATGAAGGAAAGGAGATAAGAAGTAATTGCAAAAGACTACTTTATCATTTTTTTTTTTATAACATGTCTAAAACTCTTTTAATACACTCCCTCTAAATATTTCCCTCCTAATTCAATAAAATAGGCTTTATGAACTTTTTATTAAAAATTACTGCAAATCATAATCATAAATTAGGCTAACATATCTTCGTAAACTTTTTTATCAATAAAACAAAAGTTCAAGCTGTGAAACAGTAACATTGTATATATAAGGAGGAGCAATTCTGCCCGTACAACAAAAATCGTATAATCTGTACACTTTTGTGGCACTTACATATAGCTTGCAGTAAACAAATTCTCCATTTTGCTACATCTTTTTTAAGAGGTAAAGTTTGATGTTAAAATGTTTAGTCTTCCAATGATACACTGAATTCTTTGAAATTACAACTGCTACTTGGTTGCCAAAAAAATTATTTGATTAACTCGTAATTTTTCAGGGACGAAGTAATTTTCCTCTTTCAAAATTGTGACCAATCACAGATCCTTTAGGAACATGATATTTTACTCCCCCATAGAATACACTATGCAAGGAGTGCACTTGCAAAATTCAAGACAGGAGCAAATAAATGTAAACAATGTGTAAAAATAAAACATGATGTTTTGCTTCCCCCACAAACTATGCTTTGCATCAGATTTGATACTAGAGCAAGATTCTTAAACACGAGTTTCCATCTAAAACTAATCCAAGTGCAAAAATTCAAGTAAAACTGAAGAAAAGATCTAAAATTGTCAAAAATAATACCATGCAAGGAGCTTGAGTTTTGTGTGGTTCATGGTTCTTCCATTACCACCCCGAACATCGAGTGAGGGACTCAAATAAAATGTTCAAAAAGCGACCATTAGGAGAACTTGACTTTATCAATCTCCATTTTGTGACCCATACAGATCATCATCTTGAAGAAGCATGGCTTGGTCTCTGCTATCTTCGACAGAGCTTGCAGAGCTCTCTTATTTCAGCTCAGAGAATTATATCAATTGAGTGAAGAGCTTCCCATCTTTGGTTTCTTTAACACCTCAGATTCTGAGGGGCTTAATGAGGGAGACGAAACAGACCATCTAACTCACAAAACTTGGTCTCTGATCCCTTCAACAGAACTTGCAATGCTCTCTCACTTCAGCTCAGAGTTGATATAGAAATTATGTAGTGTACTCCACCAAAAATTCGCTTCAGTTTTCAGATCTAGAAAGCAACTCACTTTTCATAGATCTCAAAAAGGAATGCAAGGCGGCACAAGCCCTAACTAAAGCCAAACTTACACTCAATTGCAAGTTCTGTGAGCTGAGGTGACAGGAGATCAGAACCAGACGTGGCACCTTGATACCAAGGAGTTGCAAGTTGCAACTGGTCTGTGAGTTTCACAATATCAGAGATGATAAACATAAGCAATATGCAAAGTAACATGCAACACTTAACAATGCGCTGCGTCATATGATATTAAACCCAAAATTGTTAAGAGGTGCATTGTAAAAGACCAAGGGGACACAAATAAGTAGGGATCAAGGGAAGCCAAGGAGAGAGTCAAAGAAAGTAGTTGAACGAAGCCTGTAAACAGTAAGTTCCATGCCCAATGTACATATAGCTCACCCACTTGTAAATCCATTTTCAAGAACAGAGAGAGTCAAAGCCTCATAACTGAATCCGAGACTTTTATAAGATAGTGAAGTTGCATAAGAATTAGAAGTTAAGAAGCAAAGAGTCTTCCATTACAAAAATTTCAGGGACGAAATTTCTAAAAGAAGGGGAGAATTGTAACACCCAGTTTTTTTAAAAAGATGAAGTCAAAGAAAGTAGTTGAACGAAGCCTGTAAACAGTAAGTTCCATGCCCAATGTACATATAGCTCACCCACTTGTAAATCCATTTTCAAGAACAGAGAGAGTCAAAGCCTCATAACTGAATCCGAGACTTTTTTTCATATGTATCCCTCGTTCCTTCTCTTTGACATTTACAGAAATTGCATCAAATTTTGAATGTATACTAACATGCTACAGATTATATTCCATGCAATAAAAATTTTAAAAAAAATCAATTGCCCCAATATAATCTGTTTATCAAGTTTCAGGGCAGAAGTCCTTCCGAATCCAGACGAAAAAACTAGTTCAAACCAATGGCAGAAGTTTCATTCCTCTTCACCCCTCCAAATAAAAAACAAAAAATAAAACAGCAACAACATTTTAAGGTTCATGGTAAACCTTCCCTCCGAAAATGGAAAAGGCACAGAGATTTCAAGAACAAATGAATGGAAAAAATTACAGGGCCACAAATTACAAACTTTGGCGAGCACAAGAAACTTTCTTATATATTTATAATTATCATGTAACATTATACAGAACATCACAAATATACATTTCAGAACAATAAGACAATCATATAACCTATTACTCATTCTAGCTTGAATACAATAAACCAAACATGATTGAAAACCATCAACCATAAAACATAAAACCCAATACCTAGATTCATCGGTATGTACCAGAGTTGTTTGGTTGCAACACAACTGTGTTGCAACCAAACAACTCTGGTACATACCGATGAATCTAGGTATTGGGTTTTATGTTTTATGGTTGATGGTTTTCAATCATGTTTGGTTTATTGTATTCAAGCTAGAATGAGTAATAGGTTATATGATTGTCTAGAAAGCAACTCACTTTTCATAGATCTCAAAAAGGAATGCAAGGCGGCACAAGCCCTAACTAAAGCCAAACTTACACTCAATTGCAAGTTCTGTGAGCTGAGGTGACAGGAGATCAGAACCAGACGTGGCACCTTGATACCAAGGAGTTGCAAGTTGCAACTGGTCTGTGAGTTTCACAATATCAGAGATGATAAACATAAGCAATATGCAAAGTAACATGCAACACTTAACAATGCGCTGCGTCATATGATATTAAACCCAAAATTGTTAAGAGGTGCATTGTAAAAGACCAAGGGGACACAAATAAGTAGGGATCAAGGGAAGCCAAGGAGAGAGTCAAAGAAAGTAGTTGAACGAAGCCTGTAAACAGTAAGTTCCATGCCCAATGTACATATAGCTCACCCACTTGTAAATCCATTTTCAAGAACAGAGAGAGTCAAAGCCTCATAACTGAATCCGAGACTTTTTTTCATATGTATCCCTCGTTCCTTCTCTTTGACATTTACAGAAATTGCATCAAATTTTGAATGTATACTAACATGCTACAGATTATATTCCATGCAATAAAAATTTTAAAAAAAATCAATTGCCCCAATATAATCTGTTTATCAAGTTTCAGGGCAGAAGTCCTTCCGAATCCAGACGAAAAAACTAGTTCAAACCAATGGCAGAAG